TTCTGTTCCATTGATCTATGTGCCTGTTATTGTACCAGTACCATGCTGTTTTGGTTGCTGTATCCCTGAGTATGGTGTGAAATCGGGTAGCATGATGCCTCCAGCTTTGTTCTTTTTGCTTGGGATTGCCTTTGCTATTCAGGCCCTTTTTTGGTTCCATATGAATTTTAAAATAGTTTCCTCTAATTGTGTGAAGAATGTCAATGGTAGTTTAATAAGAATAGCCTTGAATCTATAAATTACTTTTGGCAGTATGGCCATTTTCACAATGTTGATTTTTCCTATCCACAAGCATGGAATATTTTTCTATTTGTTTATGCCATCTCTGATTTCTTTGAGCAGTGATTTGTAGTTCTCCTTGTAGAGGTCCTTCACATCACTTGTTAGTTGTATTCCTAGGTATTTTATTCTTTTTGTGGCTACTGTAAATGGGAGTTCATTCATGATTTCGCTCTCTGCTTGTCTATTGTTGGTATATAGGACTGCTTTTGATTTTTGCACATTGATATTGTATCCTGAGATTGCTGAAGTTGCTTATCAGCTTAGGAAGCTTTTGGGCTGAGAGGATGGGGTTTTCTAGATATCAGAGCATGTCATCCCATTTTCCTATGCAGGTCAAATGCACTAGACATGAACACTGGCCAAGAGGATGTTTTTTAATGACATACGCATGCCATCCCTACCCGGCTAAGCCTTCCTTTGGTTTCTTGTCACCAGTGAGAGTATGCTCCCTTTTGTTTTGCTAACACAGTGAACCTCTCTCTTGCACAGGACTACAGGGTCCCGTGCACCTTGGTTAATGGAAAGTGCCTAAAAGCGTTACCACAGTCAATGCCCAGGAGCATTTCTAGGTTGGAGGCCAGGCCTAAGTCCTGATATGGCAGCTGGTGAGTTATCTTAGGGAGGTGCAAAGGAAGTTAACCTGGCTGTAGGGGGGAACATGTGTCCCAACTCTAATATTTTATTACAACAGCTGGCATCTAGTGAGAGCTGACTTTTGTCAGGCTTGGTTTGGAAAGCTTTCCAAAGATTATTTTCTTTATTCATTCTGACAATCCCATATTGTTGCATTAGTTGTGTCATTATTCCTTTCTTTTAGGTGAGGAAACAGAAGCAAAGAGAGGTGAAGGGACATGTCCGAACTGACATGACCCTTATGTGGTAGATCCAGAAAGTAAAATTGGAGCATACAGGCTTCAGAATCCATCCTCTGAAAAGGGCTCTGGAGCAGGCCCTTCCCACGAGCTCTCTAGAAGGCTGGTCTGCACAGGCTTGGCCTGCCTCCCTCCACTGGGACAGCCACATTAATCCCTTCTCCCCTGACTCAGTCTCCTCTTTTTCCCATTTCCCCTCCTGGCTTCTTATGCTTTCCCAGCCTCACCTTACCGCCCAGCCCCTCATCTTGCCAGATGCATGAGCCCCTTTGCTTCTCTGCTGTGACCTCCCATAAACGCAGATGCACCCTTGGGCCCTGTACCCAGGGAGTCTGCTCCACTCTCAAGAACTGTTGGCCAGAAGCATAGCCTCCCCCCTCAATCTCCATGGGCCCTCTCAGCTCTCAAGCCCTCTGGATTTTCCCAGCTGGGCTTCTAGTCCCCACCCAACGGCTCCTTCCTTGCCAGGGACCCCAACACAGAATTTTCAATTGGCACAGGGAAGTCACATGCAGGGCCCTGACTCCTGCCCTTGCAGTGTTCTTTTCTTTCCAGTCCCTGGCTCTGAGAAATTTCCCTTGGTGCCTACTTCCTAGCAGCTTCCCTACATCCTTCTGTCACCTAGCACTGCCTGAGTACTGCCTCGTATCTTATCACTTGATTGCATTTGTTATGTATTTGCATTGGCCAGCCTCGGCTGGCCTCACAAATTCTCCATAATCCTTGTGTTCATTACCTGTACCTTGCCTACAGCTGACTTTTCACCTCTCTTCTCCCTGAGGCCAGGCAGAGTGCTAAGACTGGCAAGGGACATGGTGGTGGTGTCTGAAATGTTTTTCTTTCTTTCCCCCCTTTCTTACCAGGCAACCTCCTCTACCTCTCACTCTCCCTCACCTTCAAGGCTTGGATTTTCTCTGGGCACATCCGTTACTCCATCTTGAAAGTAAGTCAGGTATATTGTCCACGAGTCTAGCTCTTCCACAGCACAATGTGGAAGCCATATCTCTAATTTAAGGTAAGTTTTATCATAACTCTTCACAGTCTTAAACTCAGGTAAAACTGCACTTAACATTAGGCAGGAATAGCCCTTGCCCTGCGACCTGCCCTTTAAAGGGTGGCATGTCTGGAGGAGGGCCAGAGAAAAACCTGTTAAAGTGAATGACTCATGGCAGGGTCAAGGAGTCCAAAGGATCAAGAGGTTGCTCTAGACCAGAGCCAATACCTCTGCCCCCACTTCTAGACTGTGCTCTAATGGCCCAGGACCGAAGAATTCCCTGTGCAAACTGCCCCTACCTAGCCTGCTTTTAGGTACATCTTCCTGAATGTGAACTGAGACATTGATAATGTGCAAGATGTGGCCAAGTGGTGGGTGTTTGTGGGGAGTTTGGCCAAAGTGTGGATGTGCATGCTCAGGTGTCCACAGGCATGTACAGGGAGCCCCTCACAGTGTTGGATAGAGTGGGAGTGGGAAGAGAAAGGGAGTACCCTCAACCAAGAGTTGAAGGATGACTATCCAAGTTCAAGAGTAGAACTCTGAGGAGTCTAAGAATTTTAAATTTGGACCTACTTTTCTGGTCATTAGGAAGTTACAATTGCAAAGCTAGGAGAATAGAGCACATTTTTATTTAATGTCTTGTTAACTCCATTAAAACTTAAATATTTAGACATACAGCACATGGCCCTTTATTTTTCTCTTGCCCTGGGCCTCACAAATGTTAGCGTGGCTATGGACTCAGGAGTAAGCTCTTGTTTCACCAGCCAGCCTGTCCTGCCACTTTTAACTTCCTCTTTGGCTCCATGGTATTTGCAGAATAATTTTTATGACTTTTCTCTGAGCGGGTGACAGTGGGAGCAGAATGAAGGGCAGTCTTTAGAATCAAGAGGGCTCTTGGAAACCATTTGCTTCACTTTCATATGCACTCTGACTCCAAGATTGCATAGATGAGAAAAAGTGAAATCTGTTCTCTATAACTGCATGCTACTACTTTAGCCAGGAGTCACATGTGGCTATTTAACTCTAAGTTTAAATTAATTAATAATTAAATACAATCAAAATCTCACTTCCTCAGTTGTAATACTCACATTTCAAGTGTTCAATAGCTACAGGCAGCTAGTGCCTGCCATATTTGAGATAGAGAGCACTTCCATCATCACAGAAAGTTGGAGAGTGCCGGGTTAGAAATCAGGCCTAAGTCATCCTGAGAGTGCTACAGGTATAGGCTATCTCTTAGCTCTATCTGAAAAATCATTACCAGAAATGAGTAACATGCCTTTTATTCAAATTTTAGCATAAACTGATGTTCACTTTTTCCAAACAATCAAGTATCACATAAGAAATATTCAGCTGGTGAAAAATGGCAATGTATCTGAGAACTTTAGACACAAAAATAAAAGACTAGGGTAAGAACCAGTTTCTTTACCCTCACCATCAAAGTTTCACAGTGATTTGATTTTGGATCCTATACAAGATACTAAATTATAAAATGATGTATTCCATAATTCTTACAGAGTACTGAAGGTATACAATTCATTTTCCGGGAATTAATTTTTCCAGATGGCCTTCTTAATATATCTCTATGTCAAATAGGGTATCACACTGTGATCAAAAGAGAGAACTGATGCTGTGATGCTTTTGCTACTCCTCTTTTTGACATGGTCCCAGGTAAGGTTACTAAATACTTCTGCCTAAACCCACAGTCCCACACAAGATGGGGATCTAGGACAAAGCTTTTGGTCACACATCACACACAGCTAAATGAAAGTTGCTAAACCCCAAAGGGCATTTGCTCCTCTAAGGGAGTCTCCTTCTCCAGAACAGAGCATTAAGTATTCTTGGCTGGAACTGGTGTGGCCCTACTAAGCTTTCGTAGAAATTATTTACTATCATTTTCATTCCTGCAAATATCTTCGAAAATATGAAATTCTAAAAACTTAGAGCTGAAAATGCTTCTATAAGTCACGTACTGAAGTCTAGAGAGTCAAGGCTATTTGTTCACATTGAATAGCATGAAGAATAGAGATCAGGTCTTTTAAACTTGAGTTCAGTTGTCCATTTACATATTGGTGAGAGGAAAAGAAGCAGCTGGAAAATAAATGTCCAGGAGGGTAAGTAGAGAGTCAAAAGAGTATGTTGTCATGTAAGCAAAGAGAAGAGAGTGTTTCAAAAAGGGAATGGTTAATCTTACATATGGTGGGGATGTCAAGGAAGATGACCAAGGGAAAATATTCATTGAATTCAGCAACATAGAGGTTTTTTGTTTTTTGTTTTTTTTTTCCTCCAAAATAGAGTCTCGCTCTGTCGCCCAGACTACAAGAGGTGGTTTTTGAGTGACCTCGCCAAAGGCAGTTTCAAGAGAGTGGTGGAGATGAAATCCAGGTTATAGTAGCCTTAAGAGTGAAGAGGGCTACCATTTATAGATGATACACTGAGCACTCAGGTTTATCTTTAAGCCCTATTGAGATGCCACTAAAAATAATAAAAGGGAAAAAGTGTAAATCAAGGAACACAAAGAGAACATGAGATAGTCTCATAGTGGAGAGATTTCAGTGACTGTTTATAGGGCATAATGCAGATGAAAGAGTGGTAACTTACAAATAGAAATGAAAGGAACTGTCTGCTGGAGTATATAAAGAAGGTGCTATTGAGGAGGGAACCAGCTTTGTGGAAGACCTCTACAGACAATTAAGATTTGGAGATCCAGAGGACAAGAGAGAGATGGGATGCTGAAAAAATCGAGAAAGAAATGGTTTGAAGTCTGTACATAGTGCTGTTGGACCATGCACTCCAGAATATAATGGATTGAAGACTTTCAATTCTAGGAATGGGGCAAGCTAGGTTAGCCAGACCAGCTCATCTGCTGAAAACAACCAGAGAAGTTAGACAAAATATATATTTTAAAAATCTTAAAAGCATAAAAAATCTGAAACAGAGAATGAATTACAAGTCTGAAATCTAAGGAAACATAACTCACAAAGTTTCATGGAATAAAACATTTCTGTTGAGGGTATCCTGGAAAACTTGAACTTAGGATTTGACAGCCTCATGGGGTAAAGGGTTCAGAAGTCAAAGGCTGGAGGGAAGAGTCTAATAGGAGATCTTCCCTCATAATACACTGGGACCCCAAAATAAAGCTATAACCTCAAGGTAAAGGTAAAATAAAAGTAAACCTGCCCCCTCCTACATGACTGCAAGATCCAGAGGACCTGTTGATTGACTCAGCAGTAAAAAATCTTCCAACAAAGAAGAGTCTAGGACCAAAAGCCTTCAATGGGGAATGCCAACAAACATTTAAAGAAGAATGAACACCAATCCTACTCAAACTCTTCCAAAACATTGAAGAGGATAGAACCCTTCCAAACGCATCCTATGAGGCCAGGATTACCCTGATAACCAAACCAAAGAAAAACGCTGCAAGAAAATAAAACTGTAAGCCAATATCCCTTATAAACATTGATACCAAAACGATAAACAAAATACTAGCAAAGCAAACTCGATTGCACATTAAAATGATTACACACCATGATCAAGTGGGATTTATTATTAGAATGCAAGGATGGGTAAACACACAAAAATCAATCAGTGGAATATTCATTAACAGAATGAAGCAAAAAACCCACATGGTCATCTCAATTGATGCAGAAAGAAACATTTGGAAAATTCACAACCCTGCGATGATAAAACAAAACAAAACAAACAAACAAACAAACAAAAAACAACCACTCCACAAACTATTAATAAGAACAGAAGGAAAATACCTCAACATAACAGCCATATGTAAATGGAGTTTCCACCTTTGCATCTTCCTCATTTTTCTCTTCCCCATTTTTCTCTTGCCGCCACCATGTAAGAAGAGGCTTTCACCTCCCACCATGTTTCTGAGGCCTCCCAAGCCATGTGGAACTTTAAGTCCAATTAAACCTCTTTTTCTTTCCAGTCTCGGATAGGTCTTTATCAGCAACATAACGAACTAATACACACAGTGAGAACAGAAAGCAGACGGTGAGAAGCATACTGGTCACGTAAGGCAATTTTGACTAGAAAGTGGAACTTAACTATGAACTATTTGTTTCAGAGAAGATAGAAGCACCAGAACTTCTAGCCAATTGTCAGCAGGCAATTATCTCAGGATGCAGGAGAGGAGGGGGCTTCTTTTTGACACCCACTTCATCAGATGCTCCTCAGATCAGAGCCTTGCAAGTCGTGCCAGAGGGGAGCCTCAGAAAGTGTTTTGGTGTTTGTTTCAAATGGGGGCTCATTGTGGGCCCTGTGTCACTGGAATTACAATATCTGTTCAATCTAATTCCCTGGGGCTTTAAGTCTTACAAATTGGCGCTGGCCTCAGTGTGAAAAAAAATAAGGGAAGCCTTGGAGTCTTTTTGACACAGGCTAGTGTGGGATTGTTTCCTCATTTGCATCCACTTACAGAAAGTTCCAATGATTTCTTTTGGTGACTCTACGGCCAAATGAATGGTCCTGGTAGCGTGTTTTATTGCAGTGTGTCCTTTTGCTTCTTTAATATTCCAGACAGACACATCTCCCCCTTGGGCCCTTCACATACTTTCCTCTCCATTCCAGTAATACCTGGCTTCAAGAGGTGGTACCTGTGCATACAAATCCCCACCTTTTCTAGGTCCTTAAGGAATCATCACACTGCACATATACACCATGGAATATTATGCAGCCATAAAAAACGATGAGTTTGTGTCCTTTGTAGGGACATGGATGAACCTGGAAACCATCATTCTCAGCAAACTGACACAAGAGCAGAAAATCAAACACTGCATGTTCTCACTCATAGGCGGGTGTTGAACAATGAGAACACATGGACACAGGGAGGGGAGCACTACACACTGGGGTCAGTTGGGGGGAAATAGGGGAGGGACGGTGGGGGGTGGGGAGCTGGGGAGAGGGAGAGATAGCAAGGGGAGAGATGCCAGATGTAGGTGATGAGGAGGAAGGCAGCAAATCACACTGCCACGTGTGTACCTATGCAACAATCTTGCATGTTCTTCACATGTACCCCAAAACCTAAAATGCAATAAAATAAATTAAAAAAAAAAAAAACAAGAAAAAGACAAATCCCCACCTTTCACTCATTGGCCTCCCTCTGACTGGAATGGATACCGATGTAACCCTCTGGCTTAGGTGACAAAGCTATTTCAATAAAATTATACTTTTTTTTCTGACTGTTCATGCATTATAATATCATGTGAAAATGGCTAGACAGATGTTCTCTGCATTTGGAGGTAGCTTTACGATACTCAGATTCTGAAGATATGTTACATGGAATATGCAAAATTGATTTGGGGGAGTCCTGGGAAGGACCCCCAAAAGCTAAGTCTTCCATGGCAGCTGAAATTGAGGCTCTAAGAGAGACCCACCATACCTATGAGATGGCATGGATACAAAACACACAGTGGTTTCAAATATAACCCCAAATCAAAACAGAATGTACATTCCTCAAATGTCAGGGATCAATTTGCAGTCAAACTTCTACTTACAGGGGCAATTCTACAGTACTATACTGCTCAGGCAAACAGGAGACAGGTATGTATTTAAGGATGGGTTACGAATCTCCTGAGCAAACAGAGGAGGCTGGCTAAAGCAAGTAGGAAATATACCAAACCAGTATCCACCAGAGGCAGGTGGCAAGTTGATAGCCAGAACTGGGCCCCTCCAATCCTGAATCAATAGTTCCTGCTCCCCAGAGTTGACTGAACCCCTTGTTGGGGGAAAGGGGTGAAAGAAAGAAAATCCCATTACCAACCAACGCCAAGTCCTCATATTTGACTCATTTAGGGTCAGCCACAGGTGGCTCACAGCCATAGAGCTGCCAGATAAAATACAGGGTGCCTGGCTAAATTTAAATTTCTGATAAACAGCGGATAACTTTGAGTATAAGTATGTTCAAATATGGCATGGAATATACTTGTACTAAGAGTGTACTTAGGATTCAGATTTAATTGGCATCCTGTATTTTTTTTTTTTTTTTTTGGGGGGACGGAGTTTCGCTCTTGTTACCCAGGCTGGAGTGCAATGGCGCGATCTCGGCTCATCGCAACCTCCGCCTCCTGGGTTCAGGCAATTCTCCTGCCTCAGCCTCCTGAGTAGCTGGGACTACAGGCGCACGCCACCATGCCCAGCTAATGTTTTGTAGTTTTAGCAGAGACGGGGTTTCACCATGTTGACCAGGATGGTCTCGATCTCTTGACCTCATGATCCACCCACCTCGGCCTCCCAAAGTGCTGGGATTACAGGTGTGAGCCACCGTGCCCGGCCGGCATCCTGTATTTTTTGATAAATAGGCAATCCTACTCAGGCAAGCCATCAGAATTAGTCTGGCAACAGGAAAAGTGGCCATAGTCAGGCCTCTGGTCACCCTATTTTCAATGAGCTGGGCAGGTTATTATCAGACATCAGGCTGGAAACCCCATCACCAGGACTGTGATACAGGGTAGGGTTTAGTCTGAGGGTAAAAGGAAGATCTTATATACTAGAACAAGTTTATAAAGTCCCAGCAGGGACTCGTATGTAAACTCTCAGGAGCAAACTTGGCAGGAGTCACTGGATGACAGACCTAGACGTCCTGAAATTACTGAGGGCTAGGGGCAGGGCTGAGTTAAGAGCAGGATTTCTCTAAAGGGATCCCTGGGCTGCTTGCATGAGAATCGCCTGAGATACTTGGGAAACATGCACATTCCAGGGCCCCATCCAGACCTGCCAAGGTCTTCCCCTTGTCTCTAGGGAAAGGCCTAGAAAGCTGTAATTTCCTAAGCACTCCTGGCTGCTCTGTCATGAACTAAATTTGAGAACCAATGCTCTAGAGCCAGGAATCATGTGTGGCCTGCAAATAAGTCATGAGGCACAGTGGTTAAAGCATAGACTCTGGAGCCAGACTGCCCAAGTTAGACTTATGGTTCTACCACTTATTATCTGTGTGACTTTATTATCTAAGTGACTTAACCTTTCTGGGCCTCAGTTTCTTCATCTGTAAAGCAGGCATAATAATAGTGCCTATTTCATTGGGCTATTGTGAGGGTTAAATGAGATATATCAGCAAAGCACTCAGAACAGTCTGACATCTAGGAAACACACATTCATATGTGTTAGCTGTTATTAGGAGCTGAGTGGACCCACAGGGTCCTCAGAAAGAGGACTGATATGGGCCTTGATGGGTACCCATGGCCTATGTCCTGCAGTAGGGTGGGCAGAAGCAGAACTCACAGCAAGTGGAGGAGGGCTTGTTGCATGAGAAGTCATGAGGATGTTTAATAAAAGGGACAGTCATTGACTCCACAGGTGATCAGCCTTGGCTAGAATGAGAAGCTAAGAAAATGGATATTGTTCATTAAGCTCTAATTAGCAGATAAATTGTACAAGGGGAAGAGAGTCCAAGTGTTACTATAAGTAATTAATGTACTTCTTCTCTCCCTGGTCACCCTTTGATTTGAACCACCTAACCTGTAGTCTTTATCAGACACTAAGATCCTGGAAATACTGGCTGCTAATTATTTTGGTGAGCCCCTGATTGCACTAAAGGAAATGGATGTGTCCTGCTCTCTCTAATGACTCAGGCACAGGGAGAAGATAAAGTGGTTCTAACCATGATGAATTAAGCCTGGAAGACTTGGAGAGGACAATCATTCTCTCTGTTCATTTAACAAATGTGAATGATGTCTCCAAGTTGGTAAAGAAAATGTGACCAGACGCAGTCTGATTAAGAAAAAATCAGTATCTAGGCCGGGCGCAGTGGCTCAAGCCTGTAATCCCAGCACTTTGGGAGGCCGAGGCGGGTGGATCACGAGGTCAAGAGATCGAGACCATCCTGGTCAACATGGTGAAACCCCGTCTCTACTAAAAATACAAAAAATTAGCTGGGCATGGTGGTGCGTGCCTGTAATCCCAGCTACTCAGGAGGCTGAGGCAGGAGAATTGCCTGAACCCAGGAGGCGGAGGTTGCGGTGAGTCGAGATCGTGCCATTGCACTCCAGCCTGGGTAACATGAGTGAAACTCCGTCTCAAAAAAAAAAAAAAAAAAAAAAAAAAAAAAAAAAAATCAGTATCTGTCCCAAACTGCTCTTGAGTTGACTGATGTCGTGACATGGCTGGTTCTCAGTTCCAATGTCTTGATCCCTGCCTAAATCTCTACTCAGTTCCTTTGAAGATTCAGCCTTACCATTGGAGTCCTGGCCCCACCTTTGACTTAGAACTAGAACTCCCTTAGCCTGGACTGGCCTCACGCTCCATTGAAACCCAGATTCTCCTGCCTGAGCTCTCCCAGCCACCTATGCACTTGGGATCTCATGTATTCCTAGGCCAACCATCCTTCCTACTTTCATACTGAACCGATGTCAAGGAATTTGATTGTTCTTTCTTGTGGAAAAGATACAAACTGTGTCAGTGAAGCATCTTGGGGTTGGGGGTGGGGCACAGTGAAAAGGCAAGTCACTCTGTATGTCCCTTTCCATGACACACTCACAGGGGCTTGGGATGCTGGTAAGTGCCCATTGGTTGGCTTCTGCCAGGAATTGGGGCCTGGGTGTGCTGGGTGCAGAGTCTCCTGATATCACAGAGAGCCCCTGTTTTCAATAGAAGTGCAACAGAGTAGAGTCTAGACAGAGTATCAGAAACTTTCAGGATAATAATAATAATAGCTAGTGTTTTTCAAATGCCTACTCTGTTGTGTGTAGTGTGCTACGTGCTTACAGGCATTATCTCACTTAACTTTCCTAACAACCCTACGATGAGGCACTATGATTAGCTGCATTTTATAGTGAAGTAACTGAGACACAGAGAGGCTATGTAACTTGCCCAAGGTCACATATCTGACTAGTGGTAAGGCTGGGTTCTGTGCTTGTTTTTATTTTCAGGAATTGAGTCAAATGGAAGTCCTCCTTCATTAAGCTGCTGGGATGGGAGCAGCAGGAGGGGCAGGACCTGGATGGGTGAAACAGCCAACAGGCTCCTGTGTAACTTCCTATGAAGAGGTAGATATCTCCAAATGTGTGGAAACAAATTGAGAATGTTCTGCTTGTGTTCCAACTGAAAGACATTTTCATTCTTAGTGAGTTTGCATCAAATTCTCATTTCGCTAGTCTTATACATTAGAGTATCAACCAATGGTACCATGTAGTTTTAACAAATGATCTAGTAGCTTCAGAGAAGCATTGGCCAGAGAAAGTTGGAATGCTCGGGACAGGCCTTGGTTGGCTGTCCATATCTATCTGGGGGAGAGGGGAGGTGTGAGCTGGCACTAAGAGATCCTCCACCTGTCTAACTTGGGCCAAGGCTGCTTGGGACTAAAAGAGAACCCAAAATGTTCATAGCAGCATTATTCACAATAGTCAAAAAGTGGAAAGAACTCAAGCATCCACCAATGGATGGGTAAATGAAATGTAGTTTATCTATGCAATGGAATATTATTCAGCCATAAAAAGGAATGAAGTACTGACCCATCCTACTACATTGATGAACCTGAAAATCTTATGCTAAGGGAAAAAAGCCAGATCCAAAGGTCACATATTAAGAGATTCCATTTTTGTGAAATGTTCAGAATAGGCAAGTCCATAGAGGATGAAAGCAGATTCATAGTTTATAGGAGCTGGGAGGTTACACAGATTATAGTGACTACTGATTAGTATGAGGGTTCTTTTTGGGGTGTTGAAATTGTTCTGAAATTAGATAATGATGATGATTGCACAACTTTGTGTATATACAAAAAACTACTGAATTCTACACTTTAAAGGGTGAATATTATGGTATATGAAGTATATGAATTACATCCCAATAAAAACAAACAAACAAAAACCAGAACAGCGGCAACAAAAAAGAGAACACAGACTCCACACTTTTAAGTTCCAGAGCAAAACACTGTCTTATGAAGTTGTGCCATGGAAGAAAGACCTTAAACTGAGAGGGAACCCAGCCTGGATTTAAGCCTTGGCATGACCTTGGACAAGTTATTTCACCTCTCTGGGCATCAATTTTCCCATCGATTTAATGACATTGTTATGAGAAAACATTTTCCTAATGAACTTTTGAAAACGATGTTATGCTTATTTAAAACTGGGCTCACTAGTTACAAGCAAGGTATTATTATAGTGCTGGAGGGTTAAACAGAGAGCTTAGAACGTTTGATGAAAGGCAACCTTCCATCATTGCCGCTGCAAATCAGAGAACTGAAGATACAGGCAGTACCCTCATGTGCGCAGAAGGATTACCCATTCCTGAGCAGAAACTGCTCACTTGCCGTCTGTCATCCTCAGGGAATGTTCCAGGTTTTTTCTATTTGGATTGGATATCTTAATAGCTTTTAAATCTCAAATAAATGGTTTCTGTGCACTCCAGTTATTTAGGGCTTCCTAAGAAGCCTTTTACAAAGAGACTTAATTAAAAATCCATTGGAATCTTAAACCTTGCACACTACACTCTATCCAATAAAGGACTCCCCCTTAACTATTCCAAAGTAATTGAACTTACTGCACATGAGACTTGTTTTGCCTTTGCAAACAGGAAGTGATTCTCTCCCTCATATGTATCCTTACAACTGATTCAATATCTGATTTTCTTAGTACTGGGGCAATGTTCAGAATCTTTATTAAGACAAGTTCATAAAAATAAGAAAATTAATTTAACTAGATACATATTTCTGTCCCCCTATATTACTAAAATATTCACATTTTCCTCTTGTCTAGTATTGAAAACCCAAGTCCCACCAGGTCATGGTCAAGTAGTGTTCAAGCAGGGGCAGGGGCCGGGGGTCAGCTCACCCTCTCTCTCCTGCCTACTCCTCAATCCCAGGGCTGTTCGGACCACATCCGTAAGGAATTCTCGGGGCCCTAGGGTCACCTCATCTCAGAAGTGCAGCACAATGGAGTGTAGCAATGCCTGCTAAGGGTTTGCAAGCTCTCCTCACAGGCTTGTTTGGGGCGGAGGTACTCTTATGTCTTAAGTCAGTAGAATGCTTGTTTCCTTTTTTTACCTCAAATGTATTTTGTTTGCTTATTTGATTTCAAAAGCGCTCCTTCCCACAAGTGAAGGTATTCAAACTCTCGGGGAACCAGCAAGAACAGCCTGATGTGCATCCTACAAAATCTTCCACTATGCGGACGGGCTTTTGACTGCCGGCCTCTCACCAGATCGCACAGCTGTGTAGGGGAGGACACTGGAGCTCCTTCACTAGCTGCAATTACGGGGAAAAATGCGAGAGCGCGCGGTTGGAGTTCCAGCCAGCGAGGAGCAGTGAGATAATGAATGTGAAAAGCCTCCAGGCTGGACATTGTAATTCGCGCCCGATTCAGTTCAAGGAAGTGAAAGCCGCAGGATTGTGGAGGGGGCTTCATTTTCAAACAGGGGAACACATTCCCACTTTAGGTTTTTTAGCTAGAGACAGTGTTTGCAATCTTGGTTTTCAACAGTGTCTGTTTTTCTTTTTTTTCGTTAAAGGGTTTAACGTTGAAGTCCGTCGCGGAGCCGGCCCCTACCACCCTGCTTTGTCCGTCCCCCCACCCACCCCGGGGCAAGAGGGCGGCTGTGTCCAGACGATGGCGCTCCTGGCCAGTGCAACCCCCTGTCCCCTACTGTGGCAAGAAGACTAGTCTGGAACAAGTTTCAAGGTGTTTACTGAGATTTTGGAAGGCTTCTCGTCCGTAGCCATAACTTTTAGCAGGCGGCAAAAATGCTTTCCCATGACCAAGGGCATTTTTGTTGTTGAAGGAACGAGTGTCAGAATCGCACCCCTTTAGTTTTGCCCAAATATTCGAATTTTCCGTGGTCCCTGTGCGGCGAGATCCTGGGAGCACCGCCGGGTAACCGTGACGCACCGGAACAGAGATCCGCATTGTGGACAGCGGGGTCGGGGCGCTGGGTGCGGCCTCAGAGGGATGGGGTCGAAACGAGAACCCCAGAAGGGGATGGGAAAGTGGAAAGACCTAGATGAATCCTGACTGAGGCAGGGGTCGCCGGTCAGCCAGCGGCTTATTGGCTTTGCCGCCTGACACCTCCGCACCATTCCCACAGCTGCAGCGCAGCTCCCTCAGCCTGCCTGACTGCCCCGTACCGCTCAGTAGAGCGCACCTCGAGAGGGGAGCGGAGTGAGAGCCTCTCGTCCTGGGTTTCCTCGAGAAGAGGGGGCCCAATAAAAGAGCTTTATTGCCTGCTTTACTTTTTCCCAAAGCGTCCCGTGGCTCCCGCCGCTGGGCTGCCCGCAGCTGGGAAGGAGACTAGCTTCCGCTCCCGTTCGCCCCAAAGCTGAGGACCGAGTGGCCACCGCTGCCTTCCCTGGGTCCCAGGGTGCAGACCCGCTCCCTGCTTCCAGAGCTGGGCGCAGGGTACATCTCTTTATGGAGAGTGCAAGACCTGGACCGGAATAAGCGGCTCCTCCCGGCTGCCGGTAAGGGAGCCAAGCGGCTCCTGGCGAGAACAGGAGCTGGGATAACTTCCCTAGGGATTACGGACCCAGATTGGGGTTGGGAGCTCCGAGCAGTAGTCCCCAGTTCCCCGCGGGGCACAGAAGGCTCTAGACAGGCAAGGGCATGGGGTGTGAGATGGATCTCACAAGGATACTGCAGAGGCAACCATCTAGGGTTTAAGGGGCCACCGGCTGTCCCCCACATCCTGCTGGGGGCTGCGGACTGGCTTGGGCTGAAACCAGATCCTTTGAAAGACCCCTTGCTCCCGCTCCCTCTGCAATCTATGTCTCTTTGCCAGGTGTTTGCACTAGAGGAGGGAGGGAGAAGAACTTGCTAGAAACGAATGCGCAGCGGCTGGTGGGGAGGGGGAGGTGGACTCCGAGCTAGTAACGATGCTTGCGAGGTACCTGGGAGATTGAAAGGCAGGGAGGGCTGGCTAGAGGGGAAGCACTTACAAGGCAGTCGGAAGCAAGACGACACCTAACTGTGGATTTGTCCAAAAATAGAGGGTGGCCAAGGCGGGGGGTGTTCATGGAACTCTGATTGGTCGGGGGGAGGGATTTGGGGTGGGGCTGGCCGCCTCTTGAGGCTTTAAAAGCTCATCGGAGAGGGGCGGGATGCTGTCATTTGCTTTCCGACTCTCAGAGAGGGAGGCACGCTTTCCTGGAGCTCCTGGTGACAGAGCAGGTGTTCGCTGTCTGGACTCAGCTGCTGATCCTGAGCCTGCTGGGAGATCTTAACGATCTCCAGCAGCAACATGGGGCCTACCCTAGCGGTTCCCACCCCATATGGCTGTATTGGCTGTAAGCTACCCCAGCCAGACTACCCACCGGCTCTAATCATCTTTATGTTCTGCGCAATGGTTATCACCATTGTCGTGGACCTAATCGGAAACTCCATGGTCATTTTGGCTGTGACGAAGAACAAGAAGCTCCGGAATTCTGGTAAGCCACCCTTTCTTTTCCCTACCCAGTGTGCAGCAACTTGCAATCCCTTGGGCGTTAGTTTTTGAGCACCCTGAATAGAGAATCTACGGATAGTGCACTCACATTGAACATCCCTGCTCCCAAATTCCCTGAAAGCCTGGGGGTGGTGGTATTCTGGCTGGGCCCTCTAAACGTAGAGGTTCTCAAGGCCAAGAGAGCTCAGAGAATTAGCTTTGGGCACCAAGTTCCCGTGGTGCGCGGCAGCCCGAGGATCCCTGTTCCGTCCGGGCCTGATGCGGACGGATCCAGCACCCGAGCGGGAAAGTCAGGCGGGCTGCCCGGGGACAGCAAGCCTAGCCGAGCGCAGCAAGGGCTGCCGCGGTGAGGCAACGCGGACCGAACTGACGCGGAGGGAGCAGCGGGGCTGCGATCTGCTCCGTGAAAGTTAAGTTGGCGGCGGCCGCGGCGGCGCTTACCAGAGCGCAACGCAGTGGCTTCTCCCTAACCCGGCCAAGACCTCGCTCGCCGCAGCTCTGGGGCTACAGAGCGACTCCAGGGCAGATCCCGGGCGGCGGAGTACAGACCCCCGCGCGAGAGAATCAAGCAGGGAGGTCTGAGCCCGCCGGAGCCGAGTTCCGTGCGCCTGTCCCAGGGCGCGGCAGAGAGAGGCGAGCGGCGGGTTGGGCACAGCAGGCGGTGGCAGCGACGGCGGCGGTGGCAGCGGAGACCCCGAGGTCCGTAAGCGGGGAACCGGAGGTCGCAGGGCAGGCCGGCGGAGAGGCTTGGGAGCTGAGCGTTGCTGGGGGTGGAGGGATAGAAGGCGGTAAAAGCGAGTAGGGATTGGCGCGAGGGCGACGGGAGAGCTCTGAAGGGGAGATGGGGGACTCAGAGAGGATGCAAAGGGCTCGGGTCTGGGAACCGCTAGCAGGACTTCCCCCGCTGCCAGCCACTGCTGAGGGGGAGGGTGCGGGAGGCCGGGGGCCGGGGGCCGGGGGGCGGGCGGCGAGCAGGGCTGGAGGGAAGCGTGGGAGGAGGCCCGGCGCTGCGACCTGTGCTGGGGGTGGGGGCGGCAGAAAATGCAAAGCCGCTAGTCTGGTTTACAGGTTGGGCGGGAGAGAGCTCTGGAGGGGAGGGGAAGGGGCAAGGGGGCCCGAACTCCTTGTTCAGGTTGGGGGAGGAAGGGGCGGCGCCTGGAATTTCCTCCGCCTGGGTCTCATTCGGCTGGGGGCGAGGAGTTGGGACCAAAAGGGGTCCGAGAGGGTGGGAGACAACTGGATTCTCACTGGTGGGAATGGAGGCGGCCGGGGTCTGTGCGATTACTTTGCTTGGGCAAGGACTCAGGAACACCGAACAAGTTTCAAAACGCACTCACTGGCACACAGTAATTAAAAGTTTTCTTCAAAGTCTGGTGGGTGTCTCCGATTTCTTCTTCGTCTCCCGGAGTCGTGGGGCGACACACTAGGACTTCACCTTCACCCTTGCGGTGCGTCCCGAGGTGCAGATCCATGGAGTCCCTGGGGGGACCTGCAAAGCCCATTTTCTTTCCTTTACATTTCTTCTTCTTTTCTTGCTGTTTCTCCTTCTTCCTTCCTCCTATAATTCAAATAAAGGCTTTTATGGTTGTTGTGGTTTTGTTTTTAAGGCTTTCCCCCTTCTCTTTTCCGATGCACTTCCCTGAATTCATTACTTTGAGGGAAAACCCTAGAAAGAACCTCTTCGGTAGAAAGTGCTGAGGCCGAGTCTTGGCAGCGCTGGTGGAAGGAGGCACAAGGATCCACACCTTTGCCCTTTTCAAAAGCGCTCATTTTCTCCTCGTCCAAGACGAAGTGCAATATTTTGCCAAACCAATGCTAATTAGCAACGAGGTGTTTCCAAAGAAAGAGGGCTCTGCGCCTGCACTTGGCCTCTTCCTTCTCCTTTTTGTGAAAGGTTTTACAAAAAAGCTCCCACCTCAGCCCTATAAGACCTGAGTGGGGGTGATTCTTCTTCGCTATCCTGTTTAATTCCTGCAGGCTCCAGTAAAGTTCAGTGCCCGGGGCCGGGAGCCCTGTGAAGGGCTCTGAATGTGCCAGTCCTCGGCTCTGCGCGTGGACGGGACGTGAAACTGAAACGGGCACTTCTGCAAATTTGCAGGAATTTTTCTCCCATCACCGCCCCCTTCCCCCACCACCTCGCGCCACCCTCCCCGCTCGCTCTCTCACCACTTCTTTGGTCTCAGACTAAATTTTACAGGGCTTCCCTGCTTCCCCTCAGTTTTCGCTCTTAGGTTACCTCAGGAGCGGTAAGTATTTGACTTGGCAATGTTTTAGATTACTGCTTGATCCCACCGGAAAAGACTGTTTAAGAAGATGTTCTCTAATGCCTTTTCTCAGAATCTTCTCTCTAGTAATGTGTTCGTTATAAATGCAATGCTAGACTTTAGGAGGGAGATGGCTAATTTATCTTTTTCTAATTACGTTACTATGTTTTTTTTTTTTTTTGTTTGCTTTATTTTATTTTTTTTTTTTAGTTTGAGGCTTCCCTCCAGTGTCTCTCCTTGTCCCCCACTCTCCAGCCTCCTTCCTAAGGACAGGTCCCTCTAGCTCACCTCTACTCCCCTCCTCCTTCTCCCTCCTCCTCACCTCCAGTGAGGTAAGCGTTTGCTTTTTGTTTTTCTCTAAGATGGTGGCAGCAGGGTCCTGTCTGAGTGTGAAGGCTCCTGGTAGGGCTTTTGTGCTCACTGCTGTCTGTCTTATGTTCGCTTCTTTCTCATAGGAGAGATGACGTCGTTCTGAAAGGAAAGAAAGGTGGGCAAAGTTCAGGTCTCCCAAACCTGGCTGCTCATCAGAGCCATGTAGGACCTGCTTGTAAATAAAAACCCAACTGCATTTCTTTAAAAGATTTCCAGAATTCTAAATGGTCATAATGCAGTTGGCCTTCCCCTGCACCTTAAATGTGTACATTTCTGTACTTAAATCATTTATTCTTCTCTGTCTTTCCCCTTTCTCCCTCCCTTGTTATGTTTTTCAGGCAACATGTTTGTGGTCAGTCTCTCTGTGGCTGATATGCTGGTGGCCATCTACCCATACCCTTTGATGCTGCATGCCATGTCCATTGGGGGCTGGGATCTGAGCCAGTTACAGTGCCAGATGGTCGGCTTCATCACAGGGCTGAGTGTGGTTGGCTCCATCTTCAACATCGTGGCAATCGCCATCAACCGTTACTGCTACATCTGCCACAGCCTCCAGTACGAGCGGATCTTCAGTGTGCGCAATACCTGCATCTACCTGGTTGTCACCTGGATCATGACCATCCTGGCTGTCCTGCCCAACATGTACATTGGCACCATCGAGTACGATCCTCGCACCTACAGCTGCATCTTCAACTATCTGAACAACCCTGTCTTCGCCGTTACCATCGTCTGCATCCACTTTGTCCTTCCTCTCCTCGTCGTGGGTTTCTGCTATGTGAGGATCTGGACAAAAGTCCTGGCAGCCCGTGACCCTGCCGGGCAGAATCCTGACAACCAACTTGCTGAGGTTCGCAATTTTCTAACCATGTTTGTGATATTCCTCCTCTTTGCAGTGTGCTGGTGCCCTATCAATGTGCTCACTGTCTTGGTGGCTGTCAGTCCGAAAGAGATGGCAGGCAAGATCCCGAACTGGCTTTATCTTGCAGCCTACTTCATAGCCTACTTCAACAGCTGCCTCAACGCTGTGATCTATGGACTCCTCAATGAAAATTTCCGAAGAGAATACTGGACCATCTTCCATGCTATGCGGCACCCTATCCTATTCTTCTCTGGCCTCATCACTGATATTCGTGAGATGCAGGAGGCCCGTGCCCTGGCCCGCGCCCGTGCCCGTGCTCGTGACCAAGCCCGTGAACAAGACAGTCCCCATGCCTGTCCTGCTGTGGAGGAAACTCTGACGAATTTCCGGAATGTTCCACTACCTGGTGATGCTGCAGCTGGCCACCCCGACCGTGTCTCTGGCCACCCTAAGCCCCATTCCAGATCCTCCTCTGCCTATCGCAAATCTGCCTCTACCCACCACAGAACTGTCTTTAGCTACTCCAAGGCTGCCTCTGGCCACTTCAAGCCTGTCTCTGGCCACTCCAAGCCTGCTTCTGGTTACCCCAAGTCTGCCACTGTCTACCCTAAGCCTGCCTCTGTCCATTTCAAGCCTGCCTGTGTCCATTTCAAGGGTGACTCTGTTCATTTCAAGCCTGCTTCCAGCCACCCTAAGCCCATCACTGGTCACTGTGTCTCTGCTGGCAGCCACTCCAAGTCTGCCTTCAGTGCTGCCACCAGCCATCCTAAACCTACCACTGGCTACATCAAGCCTGCTTCCAGCCATGCTCAGCCCACTGCTGCTGACTATCCCGGGCCTGCCACCACCAGCCACCCTGAGCCCGCTGCTGCTGACCACCCTGAGCTCTCTGCCTCCCACTGCTCCGAGATCCCTGCCATTGCCCACCCTGAGTCTGATGACAGTGACCTCCCTGAGTCAGCCTCTAGTCCTGCCACTGGGCCCACCAAGCCTGCTGTCAGCCAGCTGGAGCCTGACACCGTCGCTGACATTCCTGACACTACTGTAGTCACCACCGCTACTAATGATGACCATGATGTTGTGGTTATTGATGTTGAAGATTATTCAGATGAAATGGCTGTGTGAAAAATGCTCTCGTGGGTGGCCAGGCAATGGTTCCCTTTCCAGTTTGTTTTGCATATGTAATCCAAAGTGAGATACCTTACTGCATCTACACACAGACACTGACACATAGATATGGTGTAAGCTACATCCACCTATCAGGCATACTCCTCCTTTACTTAATGTACTCTATAAAAGTGTGTATGAGTGAGTGTGTATGTGCTTGCTATTTTGGAGACCTTAATTTCCCTCAAATTTGACATCTGCTGTTCCAAGCCTCCCTTTCCTTCTATGGTCGACCTTCAGCCCTCAGTGATCCCTGATGTTAGACTGATTTTTTCCCACTCCTGTGTCCCTCCTCCCCTTTCCTCATTTCCTCTGCCTTGTTCCTGCTTTCTTCTCCCATTCCCCAAGGGGGTTGGGAGAGGGCTGCATGCGCAATGGTAAAAGTGTGTTGTGGTGAAGGCTTCCGTTAATATGACTGCACAGCTTTATGATCTTAAATGTGTACCTCTATATTGGACTTTTAACAGCAGTCAGAAAAGTGGTTGTGATCAAGTACAAGTACTTGAAAGTTTCTTTCCTGAATTTCGGCAACAACATATGACCCATATTTGAAGAATACAATTTGATGAGCTCTTATTAAAATGCATTTCTTATGCCTATGAGATCAAATGGCAAAAGGAAAGATATGGGCACACCAAATTATTTCTGTTTTGTGAAAGTTCAAACATTGGTGCTTTTTATAGTCAAACATGGTTGCAAATGATAAGATGTTTTTACCTTATTTGTAATTATTTACCTCTTTTAGCATTTGCCAGGATTTTTTTTTTCATTTAGTTCCAGAGAAACAAATCCATTCATAAACTAGTTTCTTCTCCCAAAATCCAATCTTTCAGTTGCCAGGATGAATTACGGTAATGTTTTTAATATTGTAAATCATAACTACTCTTTACCACAGAGATTTTTTTTTTTTAAACAGCCTGGTGTGTTTACACAGTTTTTACATTTCTTTTTTCATTCAAAAGGGAATTCAAAGTAATAACTGGCAGCAAGAAGCAAATGAAGTACTGCTGGGAGGTTGTAAATGAGCATTCCTCCTGGATGGCGAGGGGGGCAAGGAGGAGAAAGAGATGCCAACACCAGCCAATCCCACCAAACTTGGCTAAGGTTCAGTGATGCACAATGTTAAGTTGTAGATGTCTTGTATCAGCACACTTGACAGACCAGGAAATGATTTTTCTCTACAATTCAAGAAAGAAAAAACTGCTGTTTAATAGACATTTCAATTGCTGATTCAAATAGACACTT